TATAAAGATGTGGGATCTTATTGACCACGAGGTTATAGTGAGCCGAGGTGTTATTTTTAATGAAAATTCCATACCTACGATGAAAGATGAGCCAAATGCAAAAACTGTTGAAGTATAATGCATATGAACGAGATGATGGTCAGGACCACGAATCTAAAATTGTCTAAAAGCTTAATGAATATTTAGGTGATCTTAAATTAAGAAGATCTGATAGGCCTAAAAATGCTCCTGTAAGGCTTAATGACTTTGTCATGTCATATGCTTGCTTAATAGAAGAGGGTGGGCCAATTTCTTTTTGTGAGACATGTAAGGTCGTGAAGTCGGTCGATGGAGAGCATCTATGGTAGATGAGATAAGGCCCAGCAAAAAATAAAACATGGGACCTCGTCGAGTTACCAGAGAAGCGAAAAGAAATCGGTTACAGGTAGGTCTTCAAGAATAACAAAGGCCTTAATGATACTGTTGAAAGGTACAGAACTTGATTGGTTGTGAAATGTTATGTTAAGAAATCAGGTATTGATTTTGATGAGATTTTTTCTTATGTTGTGTGCATGTCCATGTATTAGAGTTATTTTGGCTATGGTAGCTGTTATTGGTTTAAAGTTAGAACAATTAGATGTGAATACCGCATTTTTGCATGGTGACTTAAAAGAAGAAATTTACATGACCCAACCTGAGGGTTTATTTGAAAAAGGTAAAGAGAATTTGGTTTGTAGGCTCAAGAAATCGTTGTACAGGTTTAAATAGGTGTTGAGACGTTGGTACAAATGATTTGACTATTTCATGTTAAGCTTTAATTTTCATAGATGTGAAACTGACCATTGTGCCTACTTTCATGGCTATGGTGATATAAGCTTTGTTATCTTGTTGTTATATGTTGATAGCATGATTGGTGCATGACCACACAAGGAGAATATTGCAACACTTAAAGCTTTGTTCGCTAGGGATTTTCAAATGAAAGAATTGAGAGTCGTTAACTGAATTCTTGGGATGCATGTACTAAGAGATAGGAAGAACATGAAAATCTGGTTAACTCATAAGAGTCATATGGAGAGGATTCTGCGGCGCTTCAATATGCAGAATGTCAAATCAATTAGTACACCATTTCCAATACATATGAAGTTATCTTTGAAATAATGTCCTACCACCAGAGCATAGAAAATACAGATGTTTCGAGTACCATATTCATCAGCAGTAGAGAGCCTCATGTTTGCTATGGTTAATATCAGACTTGACATAACACAATTAGTAGGAGATGTGAGTAGATATATGACAAATCCTACCCATGATCATTGTATCATAATGAAATGAATCATTTAGTATTTGAAGGGAACTTGCAATGCTGATAGTTGTTACAATATAATGGATTTAAAAGTCACTGATTATGTCGATGCAGACTTTGCATGTAATTTGGATAAAAGAAGATCTACTACTGAATATGTTTGTTTTTGGGAGGTGGTGCAATTAGTTGGCTATCAAGGTTACTTTCTGTGGTAGCTTTGTCTTCTATAGAGGCTGAGTATATGTCACTTACTCATGCATCTAAATAAGTAATTTGGCTAAACAGGTTACTTGGTGAATTCCAGTGAATTCCAAGTTATGCAGTAAAGTATTTCATTTCATTGTGATAACCAGAATGCATTGTTTCTTGCAAGGAATCCAACCTTCCATGACAGGACTAAACATATTGATGTTCAATATCACTTTATTCGTGATGTGGGAGAAGATGGAAAATTTTTATTGCGGAAAATTCATACTAATGACAATCCAGCGGATATATTAATTAAACTCATTAGGAAGTTCACTTGATGTAGGACTTCCTTAGGGCTTATGGTTACTTGAAGATTAGTAAGTTGTGGGCAACAATTTCTTGGAGCTGACTAGTCAGAATAGAAACATGTCTTCAAGTGGAAGAATATTGGATAAGTATGAAGTTGTATTTCCTTAATCCAAGGAATCGCGTGATCTTGTTGGTGGTTTCCTTATCTTAAGGGAATTGAAATATATCCATTAGGTGGATTCTATTATTTAGGAAGGTGATCTTTAGATGGCATGTGATTTCTATGGGAGATGAAAATATTTGTTAAACATAAAAGTAAGAAGCAGGGAAAACTAGTTAATTCCTTTAAAGATGGGATTCTAGGAGGCCTCACATGGTGCTCCATTCTTGAGTACTTATTCTCTTTATAAAGTGAGATTTGCAGAAAGAGAATATTATGTAAGCAAGAAAAATATCCAGAGAGAAGAATGTTAGTCCTCTAGTCCTTGGGTGGATATTCTAATGAGAGAAAGATCATGTTTGGGGCTTAAGAGAGAGCGCTTGTAATCCCTTGTATTTTTTATGCTTGCATGTTGTTTTTCTTATTAGTGGAAGATAACTTTGCTACCCCATGGATTTAGGCAACTTGCCGAACTATGAGAACTATGTAAATATGTGTGTCTCTGTTCTTTTATTTTTCTGCACTATTTTTATTTCCCCTATATTTGCTAAACCTTGATTTTTATCCTCTACATACTACAAGCCCTATAACTACCAAAAGTCTAAGAAATCAACATCCTGAGATCCAACTATCTTTCATGGTCGGTCACGAGGGCCTGAATTTAAGCCGGGGACTCTACAAAAGCCCCCAATGGGTTAATGAGCGGCTTTAAAACAAGAGAAAATCTATATAAAAAAATGCTCGAAATAGCTCAACAGTCAGCCATAGGCCACTGACACTACCACCAATGCCAATGGCGGGAGTGGCCATGCCCTAGTGTCGGCAAAGAGAAGGGGTCCCAACATCAATGGCATCACAAGCAGCGTTGGCTCAAGTTACAAATTTGACACCCTCGTGATGTGGCTGCAAGGGATGATGATTGCTTCCGATTATGAGGATTGCAGTGTTGGCGCCATGACCAGCAACGCTGCACTCCCATTGGTTCAAATTGCCATCAATAGTTAGATATTAAATAATTGCCTAGGCATGGGAGTACCTGTTTTGGACGCCATCATCCAAAAGGTCAGTTTCTCATTGGACAAAACTATTGCCCGTTGTCAGACCTTGGGATGACGAGGGTGCCAGTGCTAGCGCTCGCGATACAACCGGTCATGTCCGAACTAGTTTCAAACGTGAAATGCCAATAGTAACACCCAACGCCATTGGTGGGGTCGTTGCACATCTGACATGTCACCACTCAAAATCACGTCAACTGTGAACTGAGAGATTGTGTATGACGCAACCTGTAATCATGTTGGACTGACATCATCACTGACAGCTCCTTTCTTAAATATTTTGATGGCGGCAAAACTGGATGAGACTGGTAGTAGTGTCGATGAGGCCACCAGAAAAGTCATGAGTGAATGACCCATATTTGATCACATATATTTGGTGGTGATAAAGGGGTCTATTTGTCTACGAATAGGGGTCGTTCTATCCCCCCGTTGATCTCAATGCAACCAAAACTCAAATCCTAGTATACCCCAATCTAAATTCCATTACTTCTTAACTCCTATGCCATATTTGACCTCGATGGTTTTGCCCGGTGGACCCTTGAAGGAGCATCTATGCCGATTGCTGAACTGACACTAACTCCAGGTGTCGAGCATAGGGGCTGCCTTGAGGTAACCACCGGTGGGGGGTTATAGTTGCTCCGCCAACATTTTCGCGCATAAACAAACATGATATCTACAATCCATGGTATTGAAAACTAATCGAGCTTCTTATAAAAACCCACATTTGATATATCAGCAAGGGATTCACGCACAAAAGTATACCAAGTCAACACTCAGTTCCACAAGGCAACCATAAATGGAACACCGGCTTTAAGCAAACCCAACTCGAGCTCAAGTATTGAGATCACTTGAAACAGTTTTAATTACTCAATTAGATGGCGCGTATAAATAACAATCGAGAAAGCATAAAATGGACTCCCCATAAAACCCATTTTACCAAGACCCTGAAAGCATATCATTCCTTCAAACCACATCTTTTCCAGTCATTTCATGGAACAATTTCAAAGTATCTTCAATCAACCTACATCTCATGAACATAAACAAAGAGAAAATCACCACAAATTATGGGGCAAATATGATTTGTGAAACTAAGAAAAGTCCAACTTTTGATGTGTTTGCGACCTAACGTGGAACTTTCAAACCATTCAATTGATTCATGAATAGACAACCATTACACCAATATAGACAACATAGAACGTAAGGAAATCATTTGATGTGAAGGCAGGTTTTTACTAAAGGGGGCAAAAAAGAGAGAGAGGGCAAATGGCAGGAGAGGGCTAAGTTGTGGTAATAGAGGGATGCTCAGTTTACAAGAGGTGAATAATTTCTTAATCCACCTAGAGTAGAGATCTCTGATCCAACTTTTTTTCATGAAATTAGGCAAAATTGGATGTGGTGGGAGTATTTTGTTTATGGGTTTTGCGTTCGGCAACGGTTTTGAAATCAAGATCACGTGGTTGACTCGCTTACCTGTGGGGCAGATCTAGATCGGATTTTTGAGATTGGTCGGTTCCCACGCCAAATAACAAAGAAACCCGAAATAATATTTAAAATTTAAAATAAATGGGAATCATGTGATAATTTGGATTCTATATACTAGAACTACTTCTCGGGTTAACTGATTCCAATTTGGATGGACAATTTTTAAATCCCTGAATGCCACTATTTGGTGCCAAATAAAATAGTGGCCTCATCTATAGAAAATAATTTTCCTAGGAAAAAATTTCTACCATGCAAGCGGGCCCTCTAAGTTACAACCATTCCAAGCGCTCTAAAAATCCAACTCTTCAATTGATCACCGTCTATTGGAGCTGCACTCATCGATAACGATTGAAGCATCCATTGCACTTATGCTTTCTTCCAGCGGATGCTATTCTATTTTAACACTGCTCATCTTGTCAATTGACGGTGATAAGGCCTCAAATACCATGGCTTTCACGTAGTCCTCAGGACTATGATATATACTTCACAGCCGAAGAAGAACTCCCGCCAAGAAAAACCCGCCCAATAAATTCCAATTATAATGTTTTCCAGCACCCAAAAGCAGGGAAGCATTTCGTGAATGGCTTCTCTCTCTTTATTCAATCGCTCTGGAGCTCCAATGGCCATATCTGCCTTCTCTTACATCGCCTCTGCATCTTACTCGAACCGCAATCACAAGCTCCGTTGCTGGCGTTCTTCATTTTCATTTTCCCCTCCATCTCGTCCAAGCTCGAGGTGCCATGGCAAAATTAGGGCACATAAGCACGGCAAGGTCAGTAGCAGATCTAATGGTGTCACAGTACTTTCCTCAGCATTCTTCCGTGGCAAAATTAGGATACGGGGTTACTGCATGCTCAGTACAAGCCCTAATGGTGTTGCAGTCATTTCCTCAAACGAGAATTATGGCAATAAGGAGGTTATCAGCGTCACCCCTCAATTGTATGAGTACATTCTGGCAAATGTTCGTGAACCGGAGGTATGTGAGTGCTTGCATCTATGGGCCTATTTTCTGAGCACTTAGCACAAAACATTCCGATTATTCACTGTTATTTGTGGAAATCCCTATATATATTTCTTACTAGGGTTTAATTTTGAGGGTAATGATTCAGATTCTTCGAGAGCTTCGGGAAGAGACTGCAGGAATGCAAGGGAGCCAGATGCAGGTTTGTTTTTAATGCTCTCTCTATATTTGATATGTTCATTTTTATTCACCCAAGTACATTTATGCTTTATACTATGAAAATGAGCTCAAATGGAACATGGTGTTTTAAATTTTCTTTGTGCCATGGGACTGGCTGCCTAGGCAGGTGATCAAATACTGGGTGCTGAAAATTTAGTAGTTTTAGACCATTCCTAACAGTGTACTGCTCATTAAAAATCTATTTTACATTTAATTTTTAAATTAATAAGTGTTAACTTCACATGGCAAACTTGGTTGAGTAAACTTTAAGGGCGTGTTTGTTTTATGGAACATGCAGTGGAAACTGCATCTTCTAGTACCGTGGTGAAAGATGGACCAAGGTGATCTTGCTTGGGTATTTGTGTGTATAAGTGTGGGAGGCAAGGCACGACAGGGGATAGG